TGTCATCGGATTACGCTAGCCAATTATTATCTTCCCAAATTTTATTGAAGAAATTATCGGAAACCTTGTTTGGTACCAAACCGTTCGTAGAGGTGTTTCCCAATTCTGACGGAGCTTCTAGTGTTGTCTAACGTCCGTGCAGCGGCAAAGAATTTGCTACCGAAGGCAGCTTTCTAAATCAATTAAATAATGACTTGTAACGATTCTTTTCTCATGGGTCTTTTCCAAGATTTGCCGCAAGCTGAATAAGCGGTCAATGGTTGATTTATCAGATCTAAAGTTACACGGAAGAGGTCCAGTCGATTTGTTGACGGTGGGCTTATAGGCGATATTAAGGAGGCTTATCCGACGGTAATTGGCACAGACCGTGGGGTTCTACTTTATATGGATTGGGCAGAGCACACCTTCACTGGCACGTTTGTCACCTCCACTTTTTGTAATTACAATATGTATGTGCGTGTGTACATACGTACATACATATGTATACCTACAGTGGCTGTTGGTCAAACGCCTACCAACAACCACACACGTCAAAACAAACTACCGCACAAAAAGGAGATGACAAAAACTAACAAAGCGACCGGCCAGCTTAGTGAAGACGGCGTGGGTCGCTAGCTACGCACAACAACAAACTACGTGCAAAGAAAACAAAACCAAGCGAAACTTCCTAACGCGATAAACAAAAATTGCGGGACAACAATTTAACAGCAAATTCGAACTACTCAAAACAATAAAACAAAATATGTTTTTGGGGTGCACCCGAGGTGTGGTCCAACCGAACTGGTTACGAACCCACTCGCACTACTCCCGTGCTGCCGGGGGTAACTTTAACCCGCCTGTATGACTGGGCTCCGGGTGCGGGATGCTAGAAGGATGGGTAAGGACGTAACGAGGGTGGTGACACTGTCGGCACGACAAAACGTACGCAAACAATAAATACACGAAATGATACTTATCAGTTTCTCGGTCGGGTGTGGGTACCCAACTTCGGTGCTCCTCCGGATGATGTCGACGCCAAACTCTGGTTCCGCCACTGGAATATAAAAGAAAACCTATTTTGCACTGGGCTTCGTCTGCCCTTAAACAAGCCCCGACTGGCTTAAAACTTTCACTACTTTTTACAAGGCTTCAACTGCCCTTACACTACCACTTGCCTCGCCTGGCAAAACGCTATTATATTTATAAAAAAAAATATCACAAATTTTTTGTTTTTTTTTTTTTCTTTTTTTTTGTAAATCGCACGCCTGCGTAAAAAGAAGTTCGCACTCTTCTGTAGATTGCAAGAATCTGATCCGGCACGCACTTACGAGCCAGGCCGCAAGCTACGCGTCGGCCTTCAAAATTCTCCTGCGAGTGTGTATTGGTGCCCAATCATTTGGCGCCGCCCCCATTACCCAAAGGGACCGGGTTGTATAGCGCACGCCACCATGGCACACCAAGTACACTGGGATAACTTTTCCCCTCGCTGCAGTAAAGAAAAAGGCGACACCCCTTTTTACGGAATTCCCGCGCAAAGCATACCGTTGCCCTAATATTTGTTAGTGGAGGAACCGTTTTGGGGAACACCTCCTTTTGGAGACTTATACCACTGGGTAGGCACACACCGAATGCAACCGTGCCATCAATCCATGGCTTCAAATAATGCAACTATTTGCCGACAGATATCACTGCCAACGCTTGGAGTGAAAGGGAGCTTAGGCAAAACAAAGGAAATTAACAGACACACATAAAAGAAGTTTTTGTTGCGGCCAGTACGCGACACGTTTAAATAGTTCAGCTAGTAAGACATTACTATTTGAGCTTCTTCGTAGTCGAATAATAGATAATATTTTCCAACATGGGATTTCCGGGTTCGCCGGCTCCGGGTGTAGCATTTTCACTGTCATTCAGTAGACTTTTCCTACATAAGTATGACTCTCCTCAGACGTACTCACATCGGCCTCAGAAAGTGAACTAGTTGATGCAAAAACACAAACCAGTAGCATACTAGTCGCCAACTAGTTGCACATCCTGCTTACAAGGCTCATCTGTAAATGAAAGTATCTCTACATTACTCAGCAATATAAATAATTAGTATTTAAAGCGTAAACTCTTAAGGGAAAATGTAATTACAATTAATTTAAAATAGACAAATGGAATATCATTTTTAAAAAGGCATAACGAAAATTTCAAAAAAAAAAAAAAAACTTGCAAACCCTGCTGAGGAGCATAAAATTTCAAATAAACGTATTTTTAGCTAAGAAATCTTCAATAGTCAGCCATTTTTAGCAGTCGTTGCAATTATAACTCAAAACTTGGTAAGTTAGTATGAATTAAAAAAAGATATTGAGTTATGTAACTCTTTAAGCGAAAGTGTGGTATATAAACTTAAAGTAAACGCAACAAACATACTTACGTACACTTAAATTCCCACAACTAACTGTTGTGCATAGACCGCAACTTTGTTAGATTAAAGTTTAAGGACCCGCATGATTGCAATATATTTATGCATATGTAGTTTTGCTATGTATTAAGACCATATCTATTTGTATTGTATTTGTGCATACCAAACATTCACACATATTTAGCTACTCGTTTATATGCATGTATTGAAATTTTAAGGTAAAGCTCCTTAACTAAAACACACGACAACTCACGAACGACGGACGAGCACAGAGCTTTTACGCTTTTGTTTACATTTCTTCGGTATATATATATACACTCGTATGTAATTTCATTCATAAAATTTGAACTGCAACAGCAATTGGAGTTGAGCAAAACTTAAACGCGTGCAGCAAATGAAATTCAGTTAGTCCTTTCGTTGCCTTCATGCGAGTCAGTTGCAAAGTGTGTCAATCAAAAAAAAAATATTTTATCGCGAAGCTTTTCGTAAGTTTTTCTTTTTTTTTTGCAATAAAATCTCGCGTATATATTAGGTGAAATATGTCGGAATGATTTATTGCACAGTTCGGTTTTCAGTGCTTGCCTTTCTTGTTACTTTTGATGTCTTATGACAGAAAGTGTTAAAAAAAAAATATTTTTGCCTTTAACGGTGTGCAGTTATATAAGTAATGCTATATAAAGCAACATTACGGTTTTTGGCGCTTTCGGCGTTATTTTTTTATGCCTAAATAGTCCCCTGTGGGTCATGATGTAAGATTGCTTAGCAAAAAGTTGGTAACAAATGATATTTTCTGTGTGAAATAAAAGGCTTTAAAATCATATTTCAAAAAAAAAAAAAACAAGTTTAAAACGGTTGGAAGGTGGACCTAAGTGTAAGTGTACAAAAGTTTTTAAAATTCAATTTAAATAATAACAAAAATAAAAACAAATAAGAATTGCCAAAAAAAATAAATTGAAATAAATATTGACTCTGAAAATTATCGGAATAGAATTTCACATATTACAATAAATTTGATATGTTCATTAAAGCTTTCGACATGATCGAAGGCAATATTTCTTTCATATTCTAATTACGGTCACCGCTCAGCAGGTATTGTTAACCTCAAGAAAAAAAAATGTTTTCCGAAGGCATCTCAGAACAAATTGTAGCTACAATAGTTGTTGGAAAATCATCAAAGAGCACACCAAAAATTGCAGGAGAGGCTTGACCAAAAATAGTTTTAGCGTTTATGAAACTCCAGTTGCAAACGAAAAATAATAAATATCGCGCGTTTGCAGAGCCCGATTGTCAAAATTATCTTTCAAATATTATATATGTGTACATGTTACGAAATCTAATAGAACTTAAGGCTATATGCCCTTCTGAGTTTGTCCCTAAGGTTAGACGTGGTTTTCTGAGCTCGGTGATCTTCGTTCATTAAAAGATCGGTATCTTGCGTTAAAAAAGTGTGATTGCATTGCAATAGATGTAGTAAAATTTATAATATTTTGTACTAAAGAAGCTAACAGGAGAGATGTAGATCACTTAACCCAGTAGTGTTTGAGTACAGATCAAAGATAGACACCAGTCAAGACCCCGACACGAAAATTTAAAAAATGTTTTTGGTTCTAAAACTCACTCAAATAAGATTGTAGTTTCCTCGATTTCGTTAAGGTAATTTTTATGTAGAGGATGCTCCAGGGTCTGATCATCATGCGAGCACTGTTTCGATTGCCCAGGAGTTAAACATTGCACAAAAAACTGTTTGGGACCACTTGAAAAAGGCTAGATACATAAAGAAGCTCGATATTTGGTTGCCAAATCAGTTAAGGGAGAAAAACATATGACCGAATTTCCATGAGCAACACCCAGTTTTCGGCAAAGAAAATTGGATTGTTTGTGTGTGGACAACACCGTGTGGCCTGGTGTTGTCCACACACAAACAATCCAATTTTCTTATCGATAGTAAATCACCATAACCTCTTAGTGCTTGGTTAAGAGGTTCTTGTGCAGGCACCTAATAGTCCAGACCTCACACCAAGTGACTACCATCTGGCTGGTGAAAGTTTGGAAGCGAGAGAAGCCTCGGAAAATTTATTATACCAATTTTTTGCCAATAGGGACACGGGTTTCTATATGTCATCATTCTTTAACTCTGTCATCCCCTTCAAAGTAGTCCCCTTGGGCAGCTATACAACGATTCCAACGCGTTTTCCATGCCAAAGTAACATTTTTTGTAAATATTTTTGAAAAACCGTTATACTATTAAATTCCACCGTATTTGTCTTTAGTTCTTCAGTTCCCAGTAACATTCTAGCTCTCCGGGTATGGTTAAAAGAGCATTCTCATAAAGTGGCTGCATTAAGAGAGGCCAAAATATTAAGCATTTTATTATGCAAGTATAAACATATATAAAAAAAAAATTATAAATAAAAAAACAATCCCCCAACTATAACAATCGGTACAAACTACATTATCCAAAATATAAAGACACTTCTTGGAATGTCTAAAGCAAAGAACGTAAATGAGACATAAAAACATTTGAACTCAAAAACAACAAACTTTCACTTTCACTAAAATGTGAATTCTCCAGTGAACGATTGTAACAGTGGGAATCCGAATGTTTATTTTTTATTTCTTTTTTTGCTGTCAAGTGGAATAAAAATTGATCGTATTTTGGCAATACAACGGGTATATGTAAAGACAAGTAAGGAAACACTTAAGAATGGCTATAATGCAATCTTGTTGCTTTTGGAAAACGGTGCGCACAGGGAGCATAGCAAGTGCCACATACACTTTGGTAAGTACACAGTGTATACTGGAACACATATATATGTATATACGAGACATATATAAACTCTATTTTTATTTATTGATGTCAACTTATATTATTATGGTAACAGCGAATAGTGATTACCGTTACTTTCCCTTTGTTGTTCGTATCGAGCAAAATAACGCAAATTTCTTGTTAATCGTAGTTAGAGGTTACTCATTAAAGCCTGTTGAAATTTTAGTTTTGTATAAATCTGCAATAGTGTAGTAGTGTAGTTGACAAAACGTATATATATATTATGTGTGTGCAAAGGAAGAAACAATTGAAATAGAATTTTTTGAAGTAAAAGCGTTTCTATAGAAACCGTTAAATGGACTGTTTGTATAAGAAGATTTTAAGTTGGATGGTTTCGCATTGAGTCTTCGAGAGAAAACCCTTAAATTAGTTACATAGAGACGGCTATAATTGGCAATTAATTTATTTTCTACAATAATAGCTAACAGCTATGTAAAAGTTGCTTATACCTTCGTTATTTGTAAACATCTGCTACGCCACCTATGGGGGAAATGAGTATATTGAAATTATATCTGCTAATATTTTTAATAAAGTATTTATTGCAATAGACAAATGGTTATCAGTGCGTACTGTCATGCGAAAGGTTGTGAGTTGGGGTACACATACCACAAACTGGAGGAGAAGCTTGGCCGAAAATCATTTCCGCTGTTAGAAAGTTCCAATTTATAAATTATATTCCTTTTGAGATAAAGTATTCAAAAATTATGTACCCGAAACAGAACTTCAACCCCTGAAATTGATGTGACAGTTAACAAATATAAAGGTTTATTGGCCTTTGTAAACGGTGATGAAAGGAGTTCTAGGAGGCTCATTTGACTCCAATTTTGTCCACCATATTAGTAAAGCTTATTTTAGAATATATAATACGGCTGATAGTTTTTTTACGAAGAGCCTTCATTTCATGCTCGAAATACACTCCGAGGAGTAGACATTCTTTGCCGAGGGGCGACCGCAATTACAAAATTTAACTTAATTTTTTTATCTAGGTTAATTTTCCAAAGCATTTTTTTGATGTTGCTAACACCGAGATATGAATCTGAGCCATCCGGATTATTTTTTTAGAATACGGTTCAATAATTCGCAACCCGAGGTATCAACTACTTCGATGGAATATAATTTATTCAAAATCAATTTCTCCTTTTTGACATTGCGAAAATTGAATTAGAACTCTCTCTCTCTCTGTCTCTCTCTCTATTTCTCTCTCTCTCTTTTTCTCTCTCTCTAATTCTCCCTCTCCCTCTCTTTCTCTCTCTTTCTCTCTCTCTCTCTTTCTCTTTCTCTCTCTTTCTCTCTCTCTCTCTTTCTCTCTCTCTCCTTCTCTCTCTATCTCTCTCTCTCCCTCTCTCTCTCTCTCTTTCTCTTCCAGCAAAATCTTTTTTATCGCCGCTATAGAATGTTTGAATCAAACGCATTAAAATATTAATTTTTCTTTTTTTTCCGCTATAAATTTGAGCGGAATTCTTACTTACCTAAAAAGAAGGTTTTCTTTCTGCCTTTTTATTGACAGAAAACATTTCTACTCTCTCTATCTCTCTCTTGAAAATGTTTGTATCAGTGAGAGTGCTAAGAAAGGAAAAGCGACGTATGAGACAAGCATGACTATAATAGGACTCCCAAAGAAGTGCCTACAAAGAACCTGCTTGACAATACGCAGTATTTATGGTATTCTCATGTATACAAAATTTTAAAAGATGCAAGTTAGTAAGTAAGATAGACTCATATGCTTCCTGGTTAGAGCGCACTTTAGATTCTTTGTATGTGGGATACCTATGGCGGGGTCTATAGAAGAGATTCCGCTCAACTTTCTAGATGCTGAAACTATTGTACTTGATTTGTTTGAAAGTGCAAATTATGAGACCTTTTTCCAATGTAAGTCTGCGCAGAGCTGATTGAAAATCCGTAATTAGTTTAAGCTGAACTTCAAGATATCTTCGGCTGAAGGTGAAATATTTATGATTTGTTTTCATGCAGTATTTAGGTTTATATTATATACATATACACGTATGAAGGCTTCATGTATTGAGACAACACTATGAATACTTGAAAATAAAATACAATTTTTCCGCAAAAACTATTCTCTCCGGACATATATGTTTTTGTGGGTTTTGAGACCTAGTCAGTGGGCAGTTTTTATAACTTTCAGGTACATGCAATATTAACTTTCCGAATTATGTACGTACGTATTAAAAAATCAAAATTTATACCAGTTTGACTAGAAGGATGAGTTCAGTTAACTCAGCTACGCCCCTCCGGCCACCTGTTTGTACGCAAACTAGTCACTCAGTTTTTGAGATATTTCAACCCAACTCGGTCACCATTTTTTACATTATAACGTCTTTTTGTCGAGACTGGCCAGTTCGGCCTGCTGTAACATTTTTTATACAACTCATTTTTACTGATGAAAACCTTTGGATCAAAAATCTATCAAGAGATCATCTAGAACAATGAAATGGTGTTATGCACACATATAAACTCTTGGTGTTTAATAGTGAGAGCCGCATTGATCCATACTCGAAAATTCCTGAAAAAATGCTTTAAAATTTAAGATTGATAAAAAAAATAATCATGAATGCCCGAGCTCATGTTTGTGTTATGAGTTAAAATATTTTTGTATAAATCATCATTTTTTATAGTAGAAATCAACGACGCTAAGATGCATTGTTTTATTATATCAAATTATAAAACTTTTCTTCAGTATTTCTCCGATTGCAGTTTAGTTTTATCACTTGACTTAACATAAAAAATGTATATTTATTTTTCAAAGCAAAAATCTACACTTTAGCGAGATTATTATTTATTTATTTTTTTTTTTGCTTTAGTGAAATATTTGTATTCCTGGACGTGTTTCTATAACTCCCCGGAGTAGTTTGTCTTATTTAACGACTCATTCAATGGAATTTTTATATTTTTGTAATCGTAAATACATCAACAGACAAACCCAGTTTCGTTTATAGCATTTTTGTGATTTTCAAGCCAAACATAAAATTCCGTTTACGATTCTTATCCAATCACTGCCGCGCAAACGTTAAGAGCATCATAAGTCGAATAGCTTGCGAAACACGAAAATGAACGATAGCAGTAACATACATATTTATACATGCGTAAGCTGTTTATGAGTGCACATACACATGTACTTGCATGCAGATGCACTTTTCTATGGATTGAAGCGGCTTACCAAGCGTTTGAATTCAACGAAAATTGACTACTTTGTTACAGGATGGTCGGAGAAAATTATTCTGCCTTCAGCAACAGACGCAAAACAATTCCAGAAGACACTTTTTCGTCAGCTGACGAAATGCAAGTTTGCGAGAAAATTTCTATTCAGCTCTCAGCAACCTGTAATCTTCATTACTTTTCTTTTTAGTTGACTTGTATGCCACAAATTGGTTACTAAGGGCACTTTGCTGCTTTGAGCCAAAAAATTCGTAAATATACGTAAGAGAGGATTAACAAAAGTTCGGTCGTTTGTTGATTTTTAATTTGTTTTTTTTTAAATCTAAAAAATATCAAATGAGAGCGATTGGCTTTAGACAAAAAAAAGCAAGACAGCTGAGCACAGGTCAGACGAAATTCCACTACCAACACAAACAGAAATTCGCCAGTCAATTCCCTTCGGGTTTTGGCGTAGTTTACAGTCAATACAAATATTTAGTAAATGCCAAATTGTATGTGGAACGCATGCACCGCCTTTATAGGCTATTTATAAGTGTCCCGAGTAGGTCGATCAAAATCTACCACTGATGAGGTCACTATAGCTCTGGTGAAGTCTAAAATTGACGAAAAACCACGATTCACCCGAGAAGTGATTGCTAATGAATTGGGCTTTAATGCCACGGCTGTAACGCGAGTATTAAGTATTCATTTGCGATATACGAAGAAATCTGCTCGATGGATGTCACGAATTTAAATGAGACCTAAAAAGACGTGCGAGTACTTTTTAGTCAATTTTTCCTAAACAAATTCGTAAATGGTCAGACTAGCAACTTTTGTGAAGTCGTTACTGATGACGAATCTTGGTTCTTTAAAAACGATCCCGAAAACAAACAGCAATCCATGGTATGGAGCCCAACAGGAGCAAACCCAGCCATTAAATCTAAGCAACAAAAATCAGCAGCAAAAAAAAATTACGACAGTTCACTTCACCCGATCTAAAATCGTAGCTGCTATTCCACTGGAGAAGGGTAAGGGGGTTACTCCGAAATGGTGCACCGAAAATTGCTTACCAAAAGTTTTCAAAAATTTGTTGGATAACAGGAAGAAAGAGAATTTGCGGAACTACTTTTTACATCACGACTACGCGCCATCCCACACTATAGTTATTTATGGTGGTCTCTAGGATCGAAGAAATACGTCCGGATGCAGTTCCTTTCTGATTATTTCCAAAAATTAATAAAAATTATTTGAAACCAAAGGTCTTTGATAACAACGAGGAAATAGTTAAAGCGATTAATGCGTAACTTGATATAGTTAAAAAGGAAGATTTTGAAGACAGCTTTCAGAAGTGGGTCGATAGGCTTAAGAAATGCATTGAAATCAATGGCGCTTATGTAGAGAAGATAATAAAGGACAAAAATGAATACAAAAGGATTTTCTTTCTGATCAGGTTACCGAACTTTTGTTAAATCCTCGTATGTACGTGTATATAGCAGTATTAATAACAAATAAGCATTTGCTCTCCATCCACTTGGAGCCAACGCACTCATACGTTATATACGCTAGAGGCAAAATTTTTTTTTTTTTTTATTTTGATATGGTATTTTCGGGGTATAAAACAGCATAAACATATTTTTCTATCTGCATAATTCTTTGAATTTATCCTGCCTTGAGCCAACATGCGTGGTTAAAATAAGTATGTGTATTGGGTTCCGAAATTTTGTTTCATAACAGAATGAATTGCTTTACATTATTTTAAGGATTTCAATTTCAAAATAAATAAATTTTCAATCATAAAATCGTTTTCCTAGAAACTGATATGTCATGTTGTTTAGGACCCAGCGCTGAGAATGATAATGTTCTACAGACTCTTCCTATTCTTTGCCTTCAGCAGCGACAAGAGTCATTCGAGTTTTATTTCAATATCTTGCCATGAATCCCTATCCAACAATGTCCTATTATTATAGCAATTATTGCACAGATGCAAAATCGTTCTAGAATATCAACATGCCTTGGTATTTTAGAAAACAGCTTTGTTTGACTCAGCCTTGCAACGGTACATATAACTTCAAAAGTCCGCCTTTGATATTGACTTTCCTGGCTAAGGTCAGTTTTAGCTTATATGAAACTCAGGTTTGCGCTCAATTCTTACAAATTTTATAGTGGTTTAGAATGGATTTTCCTCCCTAATAGCTTTCGCTTGTCTGTGGTATAGTTGCACTGTAGAGATCTCATAACTTTGGATTTAAGATTATGGATACAATTCCCATAATATGAAATCATATCAAAATCGTCTTAGAAAGTTGGTTGCCACTATTTTTTAAGACTGTGAGATTCTAAAGTAAGGAGAAGGAGCTGAGGAAGACTATCTACTACGGCACACTCGAAGCGAACATGGTCCAAATGAAACACAGGTCTGTTGGGGGACGCCGCCAGCAAGACACACTGTTCAAAGGACATGCTCCCACCGGGTCACACAAAAATCTATTATAGCATAGTACGGAACGCTTTCTCTCGTTCTGGTACTAGAAGCGGTACCCCCACTGGTTCTCGAGACTGTTGATCCGTCACCGCATCTAAGACTAGGCCCCTAGAGGAAGGAGTGGGTATTTTTCTCCGATAAAGACGACTTAGCCGATTAAGCATCTTCAGGTCTTCGTAAGTGTTTTCCTGTCTTTTGCTGCCAGTATCCACTGCTTTCACTAGGGCTCACTACCCTCACCCTTCCCCTTGCCTATCCGAATTTATTATACGGCTGTCTGGACCCTCGTGCAATACCCGATTCTTGTGGTAGATTTAAACTTTCGTGTATTTCACCTGAAAAAGATGCAAAATTTTGACCTTCGCTCACTTAGTTGTGTAGCAGTTTAACCTTGCTGCCAAGTGGACAGCTCTTCAGAGGAAAGAGTTTACATTATCCTCTTACTTCAGGAGCCACTTCCTGGTGGAAGCCAATCGAGGCACACGGCGCAACCCTGCTCCTCTTGTAACACGGCTGTAGCATAGTTAATCATAACAATCAGAACTACTGTAACCAAGATTCTTGTTAAGAAAAATTATTAAAGAAAAAGGAGTACTCTGTGATCCAAAAGAAAAAACTTCATGTACCGATTTTTCATCTGCGAATCGCTTTTGAATCGTAAAAAAACGACCCGTTTCTTAAGCGGATGATGACTGGTGATGAAAAGTAGATCAGTGAGCAGGCAGAGAGAATTTCTGAGCGAAAATTTGTGGCCAGAAAGGCTTTTCTCTGTGCTTGGGGGCTTGGAATACAATCATCCACTATGAGCTGCTTCTCTATGAGCTGCTTCAGACCTGTACTGTCAGACCACATATGTAGCTCGCTAGTGATTCGCCGGAAGCTCCGAGGACTTGGTTGGGAGATTCTTATATATCCACCTTATAGTCCAGACCTCAAGCCAGGTGATTCTCATTTATTCCTCTCTATGACGAATGATTTGGTTGATTAAGAACTGGCATGACAGAGGCTACGCTGGATAGGCCGCCACGGCCAAATGGGCGAAAACAACACAGTAAATAGAGATATCACATTCGCTGGTGAAAATGCACCAATTAAGAAGAAGAAAGGGAAAGGAGATGAAAACTTCTGGGATAATAAATTTAAAGAAAAGATTTTAGCTGACAAAATAAACTCTTTCTCAATATAATATTAATTAATCAATACAATAAATAAAATCAGAATCAATTAAGTGAGACTAAATTGAAAAATAATACAGATCTAATATTAATTCAATGCCAAACTTTTTGACTCCACAAACTTTTGATACCCATACTTATGAAAGTTCAATTATTGTTATTGCTTTCAAATCCATATATTCTCCAAAATTTTCAAATTTAATGATTGCCAATAACCGTTGTATTGTGTACGGCTCGCACGTTTTCCGCTAAACGATAATCAAATTTGACAAGAGCAAATGCACGGACATAAAGCACAAAGTGAAATTATGAAATAATATTATAATAACAGCATGATTTGCATGCGCCTGTCAGTAAATTAATGTAAAGAGGCTTCAAAATGTAAAAAAAAAAATTTTTTGCTAAAAAAAGTCCACTGTAAGGCATTGATTATTATCCTTAAAGTTTTAATTCGAATATTAAATTTATGCATCAAATTATTACGTTGTAATATCCCCACATAGAAACTTGTATTTTTATTTGGTGAAATAGAAATTCAAGATACCGAAATTCACTAGTATATAACTGGTATAAAGCTGATGCGTAGTTAGACATTTAACGGTTTATTAAAAACACCAGTTGCCTACATACAAAATAGATGGAAGATGAACTAGTTACTGCAAAAATGCATACCAGTTGGATTCTAGTCCACAACTAGTATTTTTCCCAGTAGGAATAACACGCAAAATATTTTAAATTTTATTATTCTAAAAATCATTAGTATCATTAACTATTTAACTATACACCCCAATTTCGTATGCACAGCTATACTTTGGCTTCTCTGCTGCGGTGATGGTCAACACACTTTACGATGAACACGAGTTTCTCGCTGGCAATAGGAAACATCCAGTGGGCGAAAGCATTTTGGTCAGAGGAGAGATAACACCAGGTAAGTGTGCACAGCATAATAAAAATTACGAAGAATTGCAGAAAATTCTCGATAACATTATAATCAGCACTTAATTGCAATTACAATATGTTTGTCTCATTACAGCCATTGTTATCTTTAATATACTCTTTCTGATTTGCTCCATCTTCGTTGTTATAGCTTCGTTGGTAATGTTGGTGGGGTTGCATCAGGTAAGCAGGGCATGCGTGGAAATAAATTGTTAACAACTAATTAAATTCACTAGAAATATATGAAAATAATGTCATTCATAGTGCTAAAAACATTCTACTTATTTATAAATTTTTCAGAATCGTCGTGAATTTCTGCTGCCCTGGCTTGTCTTTATGCTGTGTGATGTGCTAATTGAACTTTTCCACTTGATTTATTTATCAATAACGCAAATGGTGAATTTTGACCCCATCGTGGGTTTTATATTCACTATCGATTTCTTCATTATGTGTTTGAATGTGAGTAATTGCTGATTTAAAAAAAAAACATTTGTTGGTATGTATGTATTGTACACATGCACAGTCATTCCATATATAATATTTGTATATACATATATATTTTGTATATTTAAATAATAGTTTTGTGTTGAAGAAGTTGCGATACTTACTTAAGATTTTTCAATGCACCTACATATGTATGTATGTATTTATGTGTGTATTTACTGCGCTCTGAAGACTTTACTCTCTTTCTTGAGGCAAGTCAGTTGATATCCAATGAGCCAGTGTTTAATATTTAATACCATGTTTCGGGCTGGTGGTATGTAATTATGAAGCAGTAAGCGAAAGTCACTGGTAAAATATTATATATACGAGTAGATATATGTGTGTACCCTTTGTCATAGCTCAATTTTGGTTAATATCAAAATCTCACTTCCTATGGGCCTCTCCTCGCTTTAGAATCTGCAAACAAAATTTTGTGGAATGGAAGCTATGTACTGATTTATAAAATCTGTACAGTAGGATTTGAATAATATATAATACATTTTAGCTTTGTAAATTTTGGGAAAAAAGTTATAATTATAATATTTTTTTACTGGAATTTGCCCGCGAATGCATTTGCATGGAACCTTAAGACGAATCTAATGAGATTTATTAGGATTATTACAAAATTATTTTTATTTTAGCTTTTGAAATATTATATTTAATATTATATATTTATTATATACAATCCACATGTGTACTAAGCAAAGCCAAACCATCGAATCGATCCCAGGCCCGTTTCCCGGAAGAAAAAGTGTTCACCATGGTATTTAAGCATAAAAAAAACTATCTCTGTACCAAATTTCATGTAAATCAAACGATTTACAAATAAATTCGATTTTCTTTTTCGAATAACTCGCTACGAAGTCTCCTTCCCGAAAAATTCTTTCTCATCGGGTGTATACGCCACAGCCAGAACACAATCTCCAAGCAATAGATGGCTTTAGCGGCCCATATCTCGTGTTCTATAAATGGGATTGGATTACAATAGATAGATTTAGAAAGCTGATATTTTGTACTAAAAAAGTTTAAGTTTTAAGCAAAGAGAAAATACGTTATATTCTACACTTTTTCTTCGACAAAGGAGGAAGAGTCTATGAAAATCAATTTTCCCAATTTTTTTGCTAATAGGCTTAAGGGTTTCTATGAGAGAAGCGTAATGACATTACCATCAAAATGGCAATTTTTACTAGGCCTAACATTCCTATAAAGTAAAATCTTCTGCAGCAATTCAATTTAATTTCAATTTTTTTTTTTGTTTGTTCTAGCCTTTTTTTGCGAGAAGGTCAAAATTTCCGTCCTTTGACCTTTTAAGCCACAGGCACTGTGCTGTAGTTATTTATATTTTATTTTATACAAACACGTGCTCTACCAACAGGGTGAAAGCACTTTTTCAAAGCAGCCGAAACATTTGGTTAGCCATATTCGTGATAATGCAAATACAAAGATACATATGTATCTACATATAATACTCAGACATTCATATAACCATTTTATAATATTAATATTATGCATAACTTCTTGCCTTTCCTCTTTAATCTCAATCATATTGCTTCATGCTATTTGATTGCCGCTTAGTCTTACTGTCTGCTGTGCGTGATATCGCAATACCAAAATTACCTGCAAGGACGCGGATATAGAGATCAACAGATGCTGGTAAGAATTAGGAGTATAAAACCGATAGCCTATAAGACATAAATAAAATATATAGATAAGTTTTTTATTAAGAAATATATATTAGATATATTTTTATTATATATATATATATATATATATATAGATATTTACTCAATAGGTCCGAAATATTCCTTTTCATTTTCTTTTCACAGGCAGAAGTGATTATTTCATCGGCGGATGGCCGCGCAGTGTCAAATCAACGTAGTTTGCATGCAACAAAACAACAAAAGTTAGCAAGTCCTTATATTACAACCAATGCACACACACACATTTCGACGATACCCGAGGAGTTGGATCAAAATCATAGAATTCGAACGAGTTCAGATAATGAAGGTGATTTTCATGATTAATAACATAATTACATATTTATTTATATATTATGCAAATATGTATACTACTACAGAGCGCGAAAGAATTCTCGTTTTTTCAATTAGTATTTGTAACTTTTTAAATACCTAAGATTAATATAAAAAAAAGTTTTTATTCCATTTAATTTAAATTAATGTCTTGTATTTTTTTTTTAACTAATATTTAATAACCCAATAGCGAACTGTTGTTCTACGTTATAACGTTATGTCCCGTTTCACAGCTTGAAAGCTGCTATGTAGGTGTTATTCTTTACATTCTTATTTATCTAAAACTACCAACTGTAAAAGACATTCTAACTGGAAGTTCTGCCGATGACGCTGCTACTACGCCAACTGTCGACCAGAGGCAAACGAGGCCTAGTACATAACTCTTCTAAGATTCACTCCTTTTATTTCATGTTACTTTTTTATTTTGTTTTATTTATTTTTTATTAAATTATTTTATTTTTGTCATTTTATTTTATTTTATTTTATTTTATTTTATTATATTTTATTNATGATCTGTTAATGATTGAACATTATCTGTTAATGATTTAACAGTGGAAGCGTTGAGCGTGCCGGTAGAAAACAATAGCATACGTGTCACCGTCAGCATTTCCGTCCCCATTGTAAATATTGAATTGTGCCGAGTTTTAACGAATTACTGTATATTTTAAAACCGTAGTGCGAAATGACGGAATGTATAAAATGGAGAGCATAAGTGTAAGCGGCATAAGATTTCGTGACGAATCCCGTTGTTGCATTTTATAATTTTAACAAGAGCATATAAAACCTTTGCTACAAATACATGAATATGTAGCGTGTATGTAGGTGATATGGAAAACAAGAACAGTACATTGTGTATATATGTATATGTATATAAATTTATTTATATAAGAGTGAGTATACAAGTGGAAGTCGCCAATGTAAAAATGCAAGTGAGAATTTCGTGAAATAAAGTAAAGTTTTTCGTTACAAAGTAAATTTCACTTTTGTGCAGAATAAGCGATGTGAAATTTGCTTCCTTACTGAATGCATATTTCTTTGTCAATTTAACTGAACAATTTTTTAATTGGGCATAAAACTCGGGTTCACATTTTTGTCTTATATGTATTGTATATACCTCTATATAAATAGTGAACACATTTTTTTTAATGCAGAACTGCTTGTATGCGAAAAATAATAAGTAAAATTAAACGAAATATCCAAATTAATTTTGTAAATAAAAATTTAAATGTTTATTACTAAATTAAAAAAAACTGCATTTAATTCATTATATTATTCCTTCAAATGTACAATATAGAGGTAAGTACAATAAAATATTATAAAACATTCTCAATTATTCTATCTGTACAGTCTTTTGGATAAAAATAAATATAAATATAAATATAAATATAAATATAAATATAAATATAAATATAAATATAAATATAAATATAAATATAAATATAAATATGAATATAAATACAAATATAAATATAAATATAAACAAAATAAATCTCTGTAATGTATAATGCCAATTAAAAATCATTTAAAAACCTTCTATTAAAATATGGTCAAATAAAGTTTAAAAAAGTGCTTTGCGGGTTTAAATCCTCCACTTTCGTCAAAGCCTTGAAATATAATCATTATAACAACAATTCAATGAAATGAGGACATAACTAATATTTCTGCGAATTACGATAAAGTCAAAGGCAGCCACAAAACAACGACGGCAAAAGCATTCAGAAATTAAATGAAACCCAACCGGAAAAACTGATTGCGGGTTTTCAAATTAAGGAAATCATTTCATACAAAACAATTACAAATACAAGGGCAGTTATGTATATAAAAGTGTTACGCCAACGCCACGACGTATGAGTAACTAAACGAAATTCGGCTGCGCCACATAATACACAAGCACGTGCCGGGTCCATAATGAAAGATTAGCGAGGAGCACTTTACTTGCCTCATTGTTATTTTGCAGATTTGTTCCACATAAATGTTCGATTTTGTGAGTGCATTTTTGCTCAAATACACGTTGAGAATTGTCAATAAAGAAAGGAAATTCGACAGCCACTTCCGAGAAATGTTCAAAAAACTATTAGTTTATTTGCTTAATATAAATGCATATCTTTGAAACCAAAATTAAAATTGTTGAACGAAGATTTTGAAAAAACATAAAATGCCTTTTGATACCATCATTGTAAAAAGATTTCAACTCATTAAATTTTAGTAAAATAGACAAATTTGTTTGAATTTCTTTATTGCGAACATTCGACGTGAAGTAAACCAGAGAATCAGAACATTTCGTTTTATTAAAATGAAAAATAAATGAAATTGTTAATGTTGAAACCGCACAAACTCATCGCTAATGTTAAGTATAAAATGGCTGATTGCTATGATTTAACAGCAAACCTCAATTTCAACATTAAAAATGATCTGTTAATGATTGAACATTATCTGTTAATGATTTAACATTATCTGTTAACGATTTAACATTAACGGCAGCTTTTCAATCAACCGTAAATTATCGTTACGATGAAGCCTTGAAATGGACTAATCAGCTTTGGGGTACGAAAACTCATTCATCAAGAACAAGAAAAACTCATTTTCGGCGATGAAATTTTTTTTTGTTGAAAATAGTAATTTCTATTTTAGTTTAAAAAATATGATAGCAAAAAATAAACTTATGTCCTTTTAGCTTTAAATCGCTCATGAGAAAAGCAAACAATTCTCAAACTATAAATATGTACATATGTATGTACGTGTTTAAATTGACATTTTGCGGATCTAAAAAAAAGGTTGCTGCAAAAACACCACCTTTTAATCGAAAACTAATATTTTCGTTAGTTTTGAGCGGATAAAATTGAATTTGAAAGTGCACATAAGTAAATAAGTCGATTATGTATATACGACAAATACGTTTTATTACATACGAGTATGTACATACATACATCCGAGTATATGAAGCGCATAACAGCAGGAAACTGTTTATTTTAGATGTATTGATAAATTTGCAAATAATTTATTTATAAAAATTTTACAATATTTCCAAGCTATCGCAACAGAAATCGTGGTTAAAATCGAGCACAGTACTAAGATGTGGTAAACGCTTAATGCTGAAACATACTCATTTAGCCTCCTGTGAACTCTCCATGTTGACCACATCCAACTTCACACTCACGATTAATGTCTAATTATGAAACACCATTATTTGCGAGTTTAAAAATACTTTTTAGTTTTAAATATAAATAAATACTAAAATCATTTTGCCTTTAAACTCTCTAAAAATTTAAAAAAAATATATTTCTTTTTTTTTTTTTTTGCCAAAGCAAGCAATAATAAGAGCATTTTCAGAATTTTTGGGCATAGAAAAATTGTCAGAAACACGCAGTCATAGTAAAAATATACAGTGGAAGCCGCGATTCCTACATTCGCAAAAAAAAAGTCAACTTTTTTTACATTTAAAAAACTATTCGCAATGTCACAAATTTAATAAAATTTGTATGGGAAAAATATTTCTTTCAGAAGAAGAGTTCGTTGGTGTAAGTCAAGTTTATACTGTTTTATTTCTGTACTACAATAATAAATATAGAGCAATCTTTAAATTGCACAAAAATTTATATTAAAAATATTTTTTAACAATACTCAAATCAAAAATACAACGCTTTTAAGAGAAATACATATATGAAATTAAATGACAGAGACTAGTTACAGAGGGGACACATGTCGTAATTGATTTGTTTGTCAACAAAATGCAGTAGAGAAAAAACTGCTTACGGCGCCTTAAGAGAATATCCCTAACAGCGAACAGCAACTTTAGTTGCGCATACGCCATGTTGCACATTTCATAGTAGACAGAACATATTCATAATGCACTACATACATACACGTTTCGTATTCAAACACACTAAATGTGTCACATAAATCACAAACAGACTATTCGTGGCAGCTTGGCTGGTCAATATTTACAAAAGCAACGAAGGTCAGTGATTTTTTAGTGGGAAAACAGGGAGTTGTCTTATGTATGTTTATGTAGAGCTTGGGTCTGACAATTGATTTTACACAATTCATAATATCTGGAATCCTTTTGCAATTAAATCATAATTTTTTCGTTTAAAAACTTGTGTCTTATTAAAGAGAAATTCGTTGCCGTTTCTTTCTCCAAGAGGCTTGCTTTCTATAATGTCTCAGATCCTCCGACAATTAATTTTTTCTTCGAACTGAAAAAGCTGATAAAATTTAAATTACTTCAGAACTTCTCAAACAGTTTAAAAAAAAGAGATCGAATTGGCCATTGCAATTCACAAACCACTCAGAAACCGACTTCGAGGCACGTTTTAGATCATTACCTCGAACTTAAAAAAACTGGCTTTTTAATATCGGCCACATCGTGTGCTGCCATCCTCCATGCTACACTTTATAAATACTATTGAGTGTGAATACTCCTATTGATGATTTAAATCACGAATGCTCAAGCGACTCACTGTAACTCTGGATATTGAAATATCTGTATGATGTGTGTGCAAAAAGATGAATGCTGTAACGTAAACGAAATTTAATTTGTGCGCTTACGCAGCAAGGAAATATTTAAATACGGATTTTGAAGTATTCTTGCTTTTGGAAAGCAAGCATAGTGACGAACGACACAAAATTACCTTGGCAGCAGCACAGCAAAAGTTTGCATGTATC